AGGAGCAGCACGTGCTGGGAACCGGGCCCAGCATGTCTCCCGTGAATGTATTTATTTTCTGTTTTATGTCCTTTTACTGTGAGACCCTCCCCAGGAGATGGGGCAAATACAAATGGTCTCACCCCAGACGATCTTAATCGAATACTACACAATCACCAGGACTAACACCCTCCAAGGAAGCAAAGCCCCCGGGCCTTTGTATGGAAAGAAAAACATCTGTGTATAGAGTGAGAATCCTAGAAGAGAAAGGGTAGAGGGTGGCGTTCCAGCCTTTCAAACCTATCCAGGACCTGCCTCTAGACCCAGAAGAATGGTCTTGGGAACACCCCCGGCAAGGGGTAAATCCCAAAGCAAGCCGCACCAGCGTACACCAATTGTCAGTCAAGTCAGCCTATAAAATGCTCAGACCAAAGAAACGGCTGAGAGACGTTCTCAACGATAGATGGGCCAGACACTTGAACGTGGATCGCTTCCTCCTAACCCCAATCAAATGGTTCCGGGAACAGAAGGCAAGACCCATGAAAATCACTTCCGTGCAGTGGGAAATCACCCACCGATGTCTGCCAACCAATGATCGGTTGATCGACCGCACTAATTTAGAGCAAAAGGGCCTACTGCTCCCATGGTGCCAATGGTGTCAGGGCCTTTTCCCTTTCCATAAAAAGGCGAAAACCATCGAACACATCTTCCTACAATGCCCGATCGTCCAATTCATATGGAGGTGGTGGGACCGGGTATGGAAAGATGGTTCCTACATTCCCCTGGCCCTGGTCGTGGCAAGCCATTCTGGCCGGTCACTGGCCACAAGCAGAAGCTGCCACAACCTTCGTAGAAAATATGTATACACTTGGAAGGAGGGCGGTATTGTGGGCACTTTGGAGGCAGAGATGTACGTTGGCTATGGACAATGTGAGGGTAGAGGTGCCAAAAGTTACCGAGTGTATTCAACAGCAGGTGCATTTCGAACTCACACAAAGATGGCAGGCCACTAAAACACAACTAGTAGACTCCTTTAAACAAGAAGGAGACGTTAGGAGAAGGATTACATCATTTGTACAGACTGGGTGGGAGGGGAGAGAGAAGGATGGATTGCAAAAGTAGAATGGAGTGGAGATGGGGAGGAGGGACCGAGGGATCTGGAAGAAATGAGAGACTACCGCTTAAGTTTTAAAGACTGGACGAACATAGAACCCTCGTTCCCACTCCGCCCCCCTGCTGATTTTCCTGACCCCTTCCCGCCCCATGCCCTCTCCCTGGCTGAKATCCTGTCCTKATTGTTACAACCCAGTAACTCAKTCTACTTACTTCTACTTACTTCCACTACTTCCACTTACTTTTCCTTTCATATAAGGAACTCTCCCCTGGAGCCCCCCAGGGAGTGTTTCTTCCAACAAAACAGTCACGGTGTTGTTACTTCCTGAAGTGGTATCAGAGCTTATTGAGACATCTGGCGCCCCCTCTAGGGGTGAGGAGATACGGGAAATAAAGTCTGCTTTGAAAATCCCCTGGAGACAGGGCATTCAATGCTGGCAGGTCTAAAATGCAGGAAGTCAATAGGCAGCAGTAGTAACCGGGTGCCGAGATCAGGGTGAAGAGGCCCCCTCCCTGCTCAGTCAATCCCCTGGTCTCCAGGGCAATCAATGCTGGCAGGCTCTTCCTACAGTTCTTTTTTCTGATGTGTCCTGATGTATTCCAATTGTATCATTCTCATCGGGACGCTGGACCCGTTTTCCAGCAGGTGATGCTCCCCACCAATAGATGGAGCCTATGCCCGGGTGCTAGCAATGTCTGTTCTAATCAGCATCGCTAGCACTGGAGGGATCTGTTTTTTTTTTTTTTTTTAAAGAAAAAAAAGAAAAAGGTGTACCAACTGAGCTAACCACCAACTGAGCTAGCCTAAGGCTAGTCATTGTGGCTGAGGTTTTCTTTTTCGTGCGTAGACCATACTCTTGGCAAACGCCCTTTTCACCTAGTATCACCTGTTGAAATAAACAGACCTGAGTTCGAGTTCGAATGACAATGTCTTACATATGCTCTGTGGACGCATGCCATGATTCAATTTGGCCTAAGGAGGGTCTTTCAGAGGAAAAAACGTAGGACTGGGGGTGATGTGACCACCTGCCCGGACCAAAATCCAAAGCCGGCTTTCGAGTTTCAAAGCCTGTACTTAGTGTACTAGGCCGTTGCGAATGACCTCGAAACAGGTGAGCACTGAGCGGCCACTTCACCCCGCAGTAGTAGGCCTTGACACTTAGCCTAGTGCAGTCAGTCAAATTGAGGCAACGGCCTCTTGCCTGACGTGCTTAGTGACGGCCAAGTGAAAATTTAATGGCACACCAAGGACACAAGGTGTCGTTTTGAAGTCTTGGATTTTTATAAGGGGTAGCTTCAGTAGAGTCACAAAAACCTCGAGTTATAATTGCATTATGGGCCAAGACACAGTTTGCAATTTCACTTCGGGCACCCTACACCTGGCCAGAAAGCTGGGTTGTATACATTGCCTGGACTGCAATTTGAAACTGTATATCTTGGCCCGTAGTGCAATTATAACTCATTTTTGTGACTCTAGTTTCCCCTTTTTATAAATTTTCACTTAGTCATGAACTAATTATTAAATTTAACGAACTACATTGTCAGAAGACTTAGTATTTTTTCTCATTCAAGTCTTGGATATTCTGTCAGTTGATTGTCCGAAATGATGTGGGTCCTGAGGAATTGTATAGCGTCCAAAATGATGTGGGTCCTGAGGAATTGTATAGCGCCAGTCAAGTTTTGTCGTGTCTGATGAATCAGGCGAGTTCTGCCCATCTGTCCTTTGGCACATCCATTAAAATTGGAACAATACGTAAAAGATTAGCATTGCTCCTTCACGAGGATCACAAGAGTTACAGATGAAAGAGAGATGAAAAACTCCAATATAACAGACTGAGTGCAGTTAGGTGTTTACCATCACAGATGTGGCTCCTCAACAAGCACGGAACAGCACCGTGCTACAGACCACCTCCTCAAAGCATAAATTTAGAAATGGTCCAAATTTACGGTAGGGTCATACCATGGCTGCTGCACCCTTAAACCACCAGTACTTGGACCAGCTATCGGCCGCGGGCCTTCCCCATTAACGCGCCGACACCTTCGGGGGTCGGCCAAGGGAAGGGCGTGGCCTGGTTGGTGCTTGAAGGCCGGGCCCCGGTTCTCTCGGCACGACACCAAAAAATGGAAGAACCAAAGGAAAAAAAAAAAGATTCAAATACACAAATATTAAAAAAGAAAGAAAACGAAACGTAAAAAACAAAGTCACGCGGGAGAGAGAGAGAGAGAGAGAGAGAGAGAGAGAGAGAGAGAGAGAGAGAGAGAGAGAGAGAGAGAGTGCACGGAGGGCCGCAGCGAACTCACCCCCCCCCTCTCTCTCTCTCTCTCTCTCTCTCTGTGCGCTGGCAAAGTTTGCCAGACTGTACGGAGGTCCCTGGGGGGAGAATCTCTCCAGGATGTACCCCGGACTGGGGAAGTAGTTAGCAATGAGATAAGGGCAGCGCCAGTCGGCAATGTATTCCAGTTTGTTAGTGGGTTTGGTTTTGTTATATTTTGTTTTTGTATTTTTTGGTTTTGATGTTTTAGACTTTTAGTTTATTTTGTTTTATTATTTTATTGTTTATTATTTACTGGTTTTTGGTTTTGATTTTAAGCCGGTTTTGTTTTGTTTTATTTGTGTTACGATCCTGGTCATTTCCCAAGTGCAAATTCACAATGAAAGACAATGCCACCCAATTGCGAAAGAAATGAAAGCACTTGCAAGAGATA